AGCTCTTTCGTATAATTCCAGACCAGCGAGCGACGGTTGACATCCAGTGGCGGCGGGGTGGGCTTGGTTGGAAAGTTGTTCTTTTTGGATCGATCTGGATGGGATCGAATGGGTTCCTGGGATCGGCGGAGACGAGAGAAAAACAACATGTTTAGTTAGGTCTGGTTTCTAGAACGTCATTGGGAGTGAGTATATTGGCTTCTAGCGAAGTTTTGTTGTTTTGGCCCCCTTTTTTTTTTGGTGGGGGGAGAGGGTGTTTGTGTGTATTTTCGCTTGATGATAAAGGTACTCGGGAAAATCCGTTGAGCCGATTTCTGTGATTTGGGATGAAAGAGGTGCAAGGGGATGAGGGAGATTGTATTAAGTGATTAGATTGATGAGCCACGTTTTTTGGATGGTGTTTTCTATGACTGGGAGAGACCGAGGGCTTTTCTTGACTTTTCTGCCACTCCCAAGGGACATACACACACGCGTGAAAAATATTGTAGATCGCTCGAGAGGAAGGCTTGGTTTGGTGTTGTCGAACGGGGATGAATATACGCTAACGCGAGCCGGTAGTCGTTTTCTCTGTTAAAGAACCCGCGTTTGAGCTGGGTGCGGAAGATGAGCAAGTCGAGGATGGCTTGATATAGAAACCCCTACAAAAAGCAGCTCGGCTTCTTTCGTTTCTACGACTCGTCTCCAGTGCCGACTACTTCAAATATCTGGCTGGTTGCGACCTCTTCTCTGAGCGCGCGTGGACATTTCATGATCAATGACGCGGAATCGAATTGACATTCGATGCGACAGACCCTGACCTCTCGGGCGGCTACTCTTCAGCGCAAGGAAGTGTGTGAAATTTGGTTTGAAATTGGGTGGTGGCTTGAAATAATATTACGGTGATGTCAATCAATGCGTAACGTCTTAGCTTGTGTCCTAGTATAGAAGGAAAGTATGACGTTTTAATTACAACGTCATGCAAGGAACTGCGACGTGCAACAAATCCCCTATTCATATAGGACTAAGCCAATCTTTTTTTTTGAGGAGCCATCACCGACTGTGCGGAGGGTAGGGTAGGATATGCAGCAAAATGTGTGTGTGTGTGTGTATGTGTGTGTGAGAGAGAGAGAGAGAGAGAGAGAGATGTCAATAATCCCTCGCTTGTAAAAACTATCACGTGAGCGAACCTTGCATCTTTGTGAATAGATATCGGGATGCATTATGAAGAATACCACCGCCAACATCCGAATCTACGAAATCGTCGCTTTTAGTGGGACTGTGGTCGTCTTGGGTTTTGTGAAGGTTTTTTAAAAGTTCGAGAACTGGGCGTGGCAGGCAGCTGTGGAAAAGCGAACAGAAGGATCCAGAATATCTAGTAACAGCTTGACAAGAAGGCAAATCAGAGAAGGGTGGAGTGATGTAGGAATTTGATACTGAGTGAAATCTTGACCATCAGTAATCTGTCTATTGATCCGCTCGCTTTCACTCCGACTCGTATGACAATTTTTTTTTTTTATCATGGCGTTTTTCATTACTAACTCATTTCTAATATAAATCACGGTTCTAGATTATTTACGAGAGAAAATCAAAAACATTAAATTTCGATGCGAGTGGCAACTTGAATAACTTAATAACGGAAATAGCTGTGGGATTAAAAATTAGATGCGTCGATCGGCGTAATCGAGGTCTTTCTAAATATTTTTTGTGATTATAGCTTCATTGAGTTCTTTATAATGTAGATCGAAATGGAACACTTGCTTGGACTGGGACACTTGCCTACGGAGACTGACTGTAACCGAGAGCCCGCAGATTCACAGTCAGCGCACTGGAAGGCTACGATTGCCTACTTGTAGGAGCTGCCTTTTACGAAGAACCTTCGGCTCTTCTCTTGCGGCAAGGAGTCCAAAGAGGCGCAGTCAGGTCATCGACATGCGGCGTCTCCTCTTAAATATTCTTTATCGGCGGGTCCGAACCTCCTTCCGGTTCCGAACTTCCTTCCTCTCTCGACCACCACGTGAACTACGATCTACCCACGGTACAGGCCTAAGTATTACCCCTCGAGGGTGCCTCCCAAGTTTAGTTTTCACTTTAAACCCCCTGGTTCCCCGACCCTCGAGGGGTAATACTTACGCCTGGGACGTAGTATACTTGACGGGCATACCGATTGAAAAGACTAAAAGGTGTTGCGACGAAAAAAGAGCTTTTCCTTCACGTGGTTTTTGCTTTCGATCAGATAATACTTTATGTATACAACGTACTGATTCCTTTACTTAGCGCGTCGCCATTCCTCATAAGAGGTCCGCAAGGTCCAAGCATTGCGTTTCGGAACCCTGCCCGACGTAAATCGTATTACAGTACTACTATCATCAATACTACGAAGTATACTACTACTACTACTACTACTATTCCAGTCAGCGCACTGAATAATAGCCGTCTTCAGTTAAAAATACAGAAAGCAAACCAATTGGAGCGTCGCAATCACCTTTCAATTTGAAAGGATCAATATATCGAACGTAAATATATTAACCGTACGACTGAATAGCCGAGCTTTACTAAGCTTTAACAAGATTTAAGACCAAGTGTAGAACGGGTATTATGGAGCAAGGATTCCGATTTGGCGAAACAAATCCCCTTGCAGCCAATCACGCAATTTTTTCTATGATCGTCGGGGGATTTGCAATTTCGGAGGTATCGCGAGTTCGTAATCACAACAGCAATCACACACTGCACGCGCCAGTTACTGATCACCAAATCACGCCTTTCGATGGCGATCCAGAGCCGCAAATCGCGTTTTTTGGAAGGTTCCAGACACGCCTTGAGCTAGGCCCCAAGACCAAAAAGTCTCCAGATCTGCTACTAGTACCTTCTAGTAGTAGTAGTACGTACAGTCCCCCCATGAAAACTATACATATGCAAAGCATAATCTCACAACGTGTCTCTCACCCGGGCTTAATTAAACCAATCGATTTCCCAAGATCCAGCCTTGAAAAGTCTCGTTGAGCAAGCATTTACTACGTAGTCGGGGCAGGAGCTCGACAGGGCTTGGAGCCATTCAGAAAACCACCGCTTTACCCCCGTACGCTTTACTACGTACTGTGAGGCTATGTACGCACGCACGGAAGATCGATTCGGACGGATCTCGCGGGGCGGGCATTCCGAGCTGCCTGCCGTTAAGGTTTATGATGTGGCGCTTGTCCTTACAACCGCTCCCCCGCCTGCCCTCGCTTCCGCAATCCAGGACCATGTAGTACGGAGTAATATGTGTACTCTTATGATGCCTAACTCAATGTGGGCATTGCGCTCCAATCTTCCGAGATCAGGTAATGATGCATTCTAGTCGGTAGCAGCTGAATGCCTAAAGGTAATAAGTAAAAAAAAGAAAGTACGGCTGTTGATTCTGCAGAGTCAAAGATTTGTTATTATTGTTTTTGTATTTATTAACGTCGGGCGGGTGTGCCGCCTTGAGACCTCTAATAGGGTTCGGCAACGTTCTAAGCTAGAGATTTACGTACAAGACGGCGCCAAAAAGCAATTCTATGTGGTATAGCAAAAGCTGCGATCGTTTGCGCCCTTCCGTTGCAAATGAGATATAGATCATAATGAGAGAGAGATCATAATGAGAGAGAGAGAGAGAGCTCCTGTCAAAAGGAAAGTAAGAGAGCAAGGCAGAGACTGCCACAGCTAGCTTAAAAGCAAAGCTTTCTTAGAGTCGTAGAAGGACTAGTGTTGAGGCCTAACCGATGTCAGCCATGGTAGTAGACGATATTACATATGAGAAGAGTGCCTTTAAAAGCCATGTCTAAAACTCCAAATCTAAATGCAGATTATCGATATCGTGAAACACTTGAAAGGAAAATTCCCCCGAGGAGGTACCACGCTGGCCTAGAAGAAAGCCGTCCTCGGCATGTATCCTAGAGCTGACTCCTATGGTCCTGGTAGGGCGGGGCGTATCCCGTGCGGAGTGGTAGGTAAAAGCGTGTTCATACCTATTGTGCTGATAGAAACTTTGCGGCGGTTGAAGCCGCTTGACGTAGAATGTAAGGAATGCATGCCTGTTGGCTGAGTAGAGAAGATTGGGGGCCTGCCACCATAGTTGGGAAAGTACGCTGTGGAGATAGCGGGTGAGTGCCGGCTAGGAATGGAGTAGTAGCCGCTACCTTGTTGAAATCGGATCGTCCTTGGGATATTAACAATAGACTGGGAGATTGGTTGAAAATGGCGAGGAGTAGGATCGCGGGCCAAAGCTACCCTCAAATTGAGGGACAGGTTTCGGCACAGGTTTAGGCACAGGTTTCGGCACAGGTTTCCGCTTCACCGACGGGGTTGGCTGAGGGCGAGGAGCTGGCATAGGTGCTGGCATAGGTGCTGGTGCTGGTGCAGGCACGAGGTGCTGACTGCAGGAATAGCAAAACAGTGTCTGAGGATGAGACTCTCGAGCCACGAAATAATGCTGAGGAGACTGCGGCAGGTACGCTGATGTGTCCTTTGGTGGAAGGGGCATGGGAAAATATTCGAATTTGTGATCCTGTGTGGGAGGTGCTGTGGGAGGTGGTGTGAGAATATATCCGTATCTTGGATCCTGTGATGGAGCTGATATAGGGACATATTCGAATTTGTGATCCTGTGCTGGATGTGATGGGGGAACATATTCGAATTTCTGATGCTGTGGTGGAGGTGTAGGGGGTGTGGGAGGTGGTGTGAACAAGTTCCGGGGTTTTTCATCCTTTGGAGGTTCTGAGGGAGGTGGCGTGGGAGCATGGTCGAATTTTTGATCCTGTGGAGGTGTTATGGGTGATGCGGGAACATATTCGTATTTTTGATCCTCATGGTCGAAATTTTGATCCCGTGATGCTGACTCGTAGGCTGGAGAACCGTTAGCTATCAATTGAATTCGGGTTTGTTGCTGGAATTACTGACCAAAAGGATCCTTTGCATATTGCTTTTGGAACTCCTGGCATTCCAGGTCCATTCCCTGATCCCTCATCTTCTGAATCAGCTTCTTCTTCCGCTTCTTCGCAGCTCGGTCGTAATGATGCTCGACGACCTGTCCAAAGACTTCCAATGCAACATGTGCTCCCAGGTATTCTATGCCTTTCCCAGCAGCTTCGCCGGCAATCAAATCTGCCCCAGGTCCAGCCAGCCCAAAGGTCAAGCCATCCATAGCTCCTGAAATGGCCACTGGGATGATCACGTCGCGTTTTCTCGTCACAGGTTTTTGGCCGTGGGTGATCAGATTGGATTCGACGATTTGCATCTTCTTCCGTGCATTATGCATACGAGGCACCGCATAGCCCAATCCGACGAGGGAAATCCCCTGTGTCAACGGGGAGAGCAAGACGGCCGACGCTGATAACGTAGCTCCTCCAGATATTTGCCGAGTATAGCTCTGCCATTCTCGATCGAGCTCCTCGGGACTGAGGTGCTCGCACTTCGCTCGATACGTGTTAAAATCAAAAGGCATAGCGATTAAAGAAAAATTCGAGTGGGTCTTGAAGGAATGTCCGAGGTAGCTCGTGAGAGATGCGTGAAAACCATGGAGCAACAGATACGGACCATCCTCTCCTTCCAAGCGGGAGCTCGCCCTTTAAAGGCGCGCCGCATTCAGGCATTGGACTGGCAAGGGTCGAGAAGGGATCCTGCGAACCCTCAATCGCTGTATCTATGACACCAGGCTAGATTTTGTGGCCTATTTCCGGCACATGGATCCATTCGAAGGATGCGAAGGTTCGGGGTCGAGAAGCGAAGTTTTCACAACAGGCTGAACGCGCAGAACACGAATCAAGGTAAGCAGAGTGAAAAACTTAATTAAACTTGCTTCTCAGAGCTCTGTTAAGATACTATATGCTACGTAGTTGTAACTGATAACTGGGTAGTACATGTACATAGACGAACAAAGGAAAGAGTTACGTTGTCTCTATTCAATCTGATCTACAGTACTTACCTAGGTATTTTGACTTTGACGAAGTTGTAAACCCATGGCGTGCCGATGCCCATCAATCCTTACCATGTCCAAGCACTGATCCTGCGGGTGGCTAAGCAATCAAACTATCCACCTTTTTCTCCATAACTGGTTCTTTAGCTTTACTTAGCACTAGCTACTCTATCTCTTGTTTTGACCAATTGATCAGAGCTTATCTCGCTGTCGGCTCATCCGCTGTCGGCCACCTTGCTGTCGGTCTTTGACGGATAGCCGGATTGCACCATTGAATACGGACAGTTAGGTACTACTACTTGTACTAAGCTACTTAGAAAACCAATTACCAAAAGTCAGCTGGATGAATGCCTACCTATCTACGCCAAGCAATGATTGGCATCGGCACGCCATACATCAGAACTTGAAGAAGAAGGTGTACAGAGGCTGATTCTTGCAAAATCAACAACCCGGCACGAACGTATTACCTCGATCTCGGGATCTACGTAGTACGTAGTATTAGAAAATAAACCATTTTACCAGATTGGACATTCGCAAGGATACGGCGGTCAGGTCGTTGAGGTATCTAGTCACTACCTAGTTGCTAGGTTGGCCGTGAGCTTACCACTGATCCAAGAGACTTCGGATAGAATGCGTCCGGCATACGGTGCTTGGCATTGAAAGTGAGTCTTTTGTAGGAGGATTCGAGCACATGGCCAATTAGTGGATCAGCTCCGGAGCCAGATGTTGTTCATGTTTTCCGTGAGGTCGACGCTTTTTGCAATTTCTGAAATTCATGACAGCGCCAACCTTACTACACGTGAGCTTTCTGACTCGGTTCTTTTTTTGTGTCATATAACCAATCAACCAAACAATAAAAGCTGGAAATTATCTTAAATTGAAATGCTGATTTCATGCCAATATTGACAGTATAAAATTGTAGTGAAAGCAATGAAGCTCACCTGATCATCCGAGTTATTCATCAATTCTGTCTCCGACCGAGTTTTCGTAGCTGCCGAAAAAGAAGCTTGGCTTTTTCGAACTTTTAGCTCACTTATTTCAACTTTGTCTTTAATTAGAAGCCACAACTGTTTCCGCACGTAAAAGTCCAATCTTAGCCTCATAATGATACGATGTTGGAAAAACTTGCCCCCAAACGAAAGAGTAACACCTCAAAAGCTAGTACTATTCCCCCTCATGAATACTTAGTAAAAGACGGCATCCCAAGGGTGGCACGAGCCAAAACACAGCAGAAGGCTATCCCTGCTACCATTGGGATCCGGCCCTTTATTTATGGGGGGATAGTATTAGACGGTATCTAGGTTTTAAAAACCGAAGTCGTAGCTCCCTATATTGGAAGGTGTTTCTTAATCCTGATTGACATATTTTTATGGAATTCTAGAAAACCACTTCACCGAGGACCGGAGCCGTACGTCACAGCTGGCCCGTGACACAGTACTAATCCCATGCATAGCACAAGCGCTTTGTGCGCTTTCATGATTACCTACGGTACTACTTACTGTAAATACCTCACCGCCGCTTACTCCGTACATCGCTTCTAGCTAGATAAAGAAAGAGAAAAGTAATACGATCGTAGAGCTGAGGTAGATGATGACGGCCAGCCTTTAGATCTTCAGCCGATGAGATTACAAACTAAAGCTAGATTCTCTTCATCTGATTATATCAAAGCTTCCTTGCTAAGTGCATATTAGCTCCTCGATAAACCAGAGATCTCTTAGCTAGCATGACATGGACGACAAGGTAGGCGATGATAAGATAGGTGACGATAAGGGATTAGATCTGATAGAAATCAAAGACACCGAGGCGCTAATCGCCGGCTCGCTTAGGTGGGCCTCCATTTCATCCTTTCAATCTCCGTATTCGGTATAAGCGAGTGCGTTGCGGAAGCGAGCCCGTTGCGAATTTTTGTATATAAAAAAATATCGGAAATTTTTTTCTATTACTATGATCAATTCTATAACCACAAACTATACATATATAGATAATCATTCGTTTATTATATCCTCGTCCGAAATATTCTAAAATTGTATGACCCGATATAATACTTGACTATCGACCTTTTATAAAAATCCAAATTCATCTTTTGCTTTGCGTAGCTATTGTTGTTGTATTTATTAACGTCGAGCGGGTATCCAAAACTCAATACTTGGACCCTAGGACCTTTTACGTAGTATAAGGTACGGCGACGTGCTAAGTAAAGGTATCATATATTAAGTATTATTTAATCGAAAATAAAAACCACTTTAAGGAAAAGCTGGCTTTTAAATAGCCCCGGGTCCGTGATCCCGCGGTACCGCAAACACTTTATAAACTTTTTAAAAAGCATTTTATAGTAATATGCGCCGAGTTTTCTTTCGTCAACTATCGAACATCTATAGCCTTACTGGCGGCCTCGATACTTATAAATATGAATATAGGTTTTTTTTTTAAATCGCAAAGCTAAAGAAGCTTGCGTTCGTAGCCTTTATATAATCGTCGGTTGCCTTGAATTTAATTTGTAAAAATCCCCGACCTTGCTGCGCCAGGTCGGCACCACCAAGGCGGGACAGTAACGGTAGACCACTTTTTAAACAACAACTATTAATATAAATAGAAATCAAAAAACATTTATATGCTCAGAAAACTTTTCTTTACAAATGTAAATTTAAAATATAAAAATGCATTCATCTTTGGTGATATAAAACATTAAAATGTAATGAAAATGTAGCTAAAAACTGTCCCAAATAATTCAAATTTACTTGTTTGCTATGAATATCTTAACAACCACAACCTCAATTAAAAAAAACGTCTTATAGATCGAAAATAAATAATTTAATCTATTATATTACCAAAGGTATTAATTATCAAATGAAAGTTAGTAATGATGCACGTATTCTTTTAATAGGTTTGAATAAAAGTCCGATTTTCGTGTTCCTCGCTTATTCTAGTATTTACGCGGCAATTCTGATATATAATAGTCAGTGCACTGACTTTGTGACCTGCGGGCTCTCGGTCACAGTCAGGACAAGCAAGTGTCCCAGGTCAAGCAAGTGTCCCATTTCAATTATTTCAACTTGTATTAGAAATAACTTAGCAACGAATATTGCTATGATATTCAAAACTAGATGCATAGATCGGCGTAATCGAGATCTTTAAAAGTCTAACCAAGTATAAAATATTTTTATTAATAATTTAATAATGAATAGAATAAATAATGTTTGATTATCGATTGAATTTGATTGAAAATCAAATATTTTGTATTAAAAATTTTATATTTTTGAATATTGATCGTCTTTTGAATTGAATTTTAATATAAAAATTTGATATTTAAAAAATTCTTAATCAAGCAGACTCGTACCATTTGGTTTTTCTATTATAACTTCTATAATTATTATTTTATTTAAGTTACAAATATAATCGAAAAGTTAATGTTCTTGAATTTTCGCTAAATTGTCCGAGCTTTTTTCGCTGTTACAGTTGTGATTTTGCGTAATAAATATTATTTTACTTATTTTAATAATAAAAAATATATAATATGTTTAATAGGTAAAGTATAATTCACTTATCTCGATTCGTATATCTAATTTTTATTATTGTATCTTTTTTTGTTGTTGACTTATTCTTAATACAAATCGCGATTTTCGATTCTTTTCGATGAAAAATCAAAAACTTTTTTTTTTTCACGATTTGCAACTTGAATTACTTGCTAATAAAAAGAGCTATATTGATAAAAATTGAA